GGATGCATGGATAGATTTCGCTGTTTACGCTTACAGCTCTGGTAGGCACTCTACGGTGTTGCTATCACCTAATGAGCTGACGATGGGACGCAAGTTGAGAACACTGAACGAGCTCCTAAGAAGAAATAGTGTATCAGTTGACAACCTATCACAACCGACTACTTACATCAATGAAATCAGCACATGAGTGTGCTGAACGAGCCCGAGAGCGTGAGCAACGACGGCAAGCACGATATTACGCTCGACAGGTGAGAAACAAGCGCAACTTAAAACCTTGCGACCGAGTGTGGATGTACAGGCCGCCGAGAGGGCCGAAGGCATCGAAGTTCGTACATTCATGGATTGGACCTCTGAAGATAATCGAGTCTGCTGGTTACGACAATTTCTTACTGGAGAGAGAAGATCAGAACGATAAGAAAGAGTTTTTCATAGCTCATGCGTCATTTTTAGTGTCTTATCACTATCCTCCGATGATGTTGACGAGAGTGGCGGCAGATCTGGAGGGCAGCTCGAGAATGAAGGCGAGATCAAGACGAAAGTGCATGACGAGACGGCAGGAGAGACTTTTAGAGCAACGACTGCTCCTGTCAACACAAGTACAGCGGCAGGAAGCGTCAGACGACGTACGCGAGCAGTGGCGAGTACGACGGAATTGTTTGGACACGACGCTCTGTTGGTGAAACTTCGACGACGAAGACGTCGGAACAGTGAAGAGGAATAAGTATTGGAGTACCAGCTACGGCCAGTACGAGAGCGAGGGCGAGAAGGCGGTGAACGAGCAGAGGCAGAGCCACGGTGGGTGTCTGTCACGAAGTACGATGAGCTCTTTCAAGCCGCCAGTGTCGTGGAAGACTCTGGAGATGGAGAAGGCGTGTAATACGAGGACGCGTCAGGACGAGGGCAGCGAGAATGAACGTCGAAAAGTGTGTGTGGCGGTTGAAGATCGCCAGAAGATTGTGAATGAGGCGCAATTGGCGAGAAGTCGCCGAACCCAGGACGAGACGACGGAAGAGAGCCGTTGATCGGCGATCTTTGAGTAGAGGGTCACCATGGTGGGTGATTGTGTGCTCTGGGAGGTGCGAGTGTGCAGTGTGAGGCGGCGTGAGAAGCGAGCTGCGTGCTCACTTCGAATTCTGCTCCAGAGCGAGCAGAACAAGAAGGACGAGTACGAGTCGGCGGTGCCAAGTGCAGCAGTGTCGAAGTGTGACGAGTGAGGATCCACGACTGGAAGGGCGTGTGGAGCGGCATATCGGGTCGCAGGAGGTACGGTGTCTGGCGGTAGTGGTGTCGGACGGGGAACCCCGATATTGCTACTGAGAGAAGGCCTCGTACGAGCCCTGTGGATGGTGTGTCGTGATGTGCGGGCGGAAGGGCGAGGTGAATTTGGACTCTCTGTCCTAGACAGGGGTAACTGAGTAGTCTTGACGACGGTCAAGCAATACGAGAAGTCTCTGCCGATGGGTGGAGCAAATTTGAGTTGTATTTAGAGTGAATATAAATAGGGAGAAGCACGTAGGTG